TGAACATTCTAAACTAACACGAGTCTCATTAAGTGTCCAGTTTAAGGGTATTACACAGAAACATACCAAGGGAACATGAATCAAATATGTACTTTTATTCATTTACAATAAATTCATAAAGTACATCATTCTTGATTGAAGCTAAGGGCATACAAAATTGTCTAACACTATCTTCTTGCCATCGCCGTTGCAACTTGCAGCAGCGTCTCTCTCTCTCTCTCTCTCTCTCTCTCCTGTCTTCTCGCCACCGTCGCAACAACTTATAGCGGTGGTTCTCTCTCTCCCCTATCTTCCCTCCACTGCCACTACTGCTGCAATTTGCAACAGCAATAGTTCAGTGAACAATAATAATAATAATAATTAATATTATTAATTAATAATTAATTTTATTAATTATTAATTATTTTAATATTTTTTATTAATTTTACTTGTATTATTTATTAATTATTAATTATTTTTATTAACTAGTAATTTTTAATTATTTCATTATTTTTTAAAAAATTATTTTAATTTTTATTTGTGTAAATTATTAATTATTTTAATATTTTTATAGTCATTAATTATTTTTTAAATTTTAACCATTTCATTTATTAATTTGTGATTATTAATTATTAATTTTTTTATTTTTTATTTGTATTGTTTCAATATTATTTTTAGGTTGAAAATTATTTTTTATGAGATAATGCAAATTGAACTCAATATTTCCAAATAGTATGTTCTAGGGATAAAATAGTAAAATCAATAAATTTCAGATGGTAAAGGATTGACCCATTAGTAAAATCAGTAAATTTCAAATGGCAAAGGGTTGATCCAACACAAACAAACTTATGGATTCAGAGCCTCTAAAAGTAGAAAAGCACATATGCTTCTTTTCAAATTTCAGACACAAAAAATATCTTTTTAACTTTTCATATCTGAAATTTCAGATTTATCAAATGCCACCTAAGTGGTTTGGTGAGAAGATCTGCCACTTGATCATAAGAGGAAGTGAACTGAATAGAGAAGGAGCGCTTGAGAACAAGGTCTCGAAGGAAGTGAAAGTCAACCTCAATATGTCTCGTACAAGCACGGAACACGAGGTTCGTGGCAAGATATGTGACTCTGATATTGTCGCACCAAATGACAAGTACGTGTGTAGTAAATTGTTTTAAATCATGTAACAAGGAACACACCCAAAGCATAGTTGTCAAGGCAACGCCTAGGTGACAAGGCGCCCTTGGAAGCTTACCACCAAGGGTAAGCTAATTTCTTTTTATTATTTTCTTATTTGTTAGGGTTTAATCAACATAAACATTGCTAACTACTGTATTGAACCCTCAATGACTTCAAAATCTGAACCAATAAGGGAATAACTTAAAATTTTATCTAATCAACACATTTATTCTTCCACCTTTTCTTTTCTTCTTTTCCTATCACAGAAATAGGGGTTCAGCCCCTATATTTTTTAAATTTCTTTCCTTTCTTCTTTTTCTTCTCATAAATATGTTGATTTTCTAGACTTAAACATGAAGTTTATAATTCTTTTATTAAAATTATGGATAGTTATTAAAGAAAGTTGGTTATGAAACCTAGGGGACTACCCTAAGATATGTGATTTTTACTTAAAAAAATTCATGGCCTAGGCGATGCTTAGCCTTGCCTTGGCATCTTGAAAACTATGACCCAACGAAGCTCGGTGACAACATTTGCACAAGCCCGGAATTCAGACTCCGTACTAGATCAGGCAATGGTGGGTTGCTTTTTAGAACTCCAAGCAACAACATTGCAACCCAAATAAATGAGATAGCCTCCAATAGCTTGTTTATCATTGGGATAGCTAGCCCAATCAGCATTGGAAAAGGCTCGAAGAGTGAGCAAAGCCGGTGTGGAGTAAAAATACAAACCATGATCAACAATTTGTTTAAGATACCGTAGGATCCTCTTAACAGCAGCACAAGGTTTAATGGTCGGAGAATGAAGAAACTGACAAGCCTTGTTGACAGAAAAGGGGATATCGAACCTCGTAATGGTGACATATTGAAGAGTGCCAACGATGTTCCGATACTCAAATGGATCAGAAAGAGAGTCGCCACTAAACTTAAAAAGCTTAATATTAGCTTCCATGGAAGAAGTGAGAGGTTTAACTTCGGCCAAGTTGGTGTGGTTAAAGAGATGCAGAATGTATCGTTGTTGAGTAAGAACAATACCATGAGGTTGTGGCATGATCTCAATGCCAAGAAAATAGCGACCAGAGCCAAGATCCTTTAAGGAGAATGTACGACCAAGCGTAGCGACTATATCATCAAGAGAAGACGAAGAAGAGCTAGTGAGAAGGATGTCATCCACATAGACCAGCATATAGAGAATAACAAAACCCTTGTGATAAATGATCAAGGAAGGATCAGCTGCTGACATATGAAAACCAAGTTGAGAGAGATGAGTTCCGAGGCGAGAGTACCATGCATGTGGAGCCTACCGAAGACCCTATAGAGCTTTGTTAAGTTTACAAACATGAGAAGGAGAAATTGGATCCTCAAAGCCCTTAGGTTGGCAAGCGATCTCTTCCGAGACATAACCATTAAGAAAAGCGTTATCAAAGTCCAACTATTGAAGAGGCCAACCAAGGGTAGTGGTGAGAGCAAGAATGGTGTGGATGGTGAGCAATTTCACTATTAGATTGAAAAGTGTCTATGAAATGAACCCCTGGAAGGCTGGAACGTAGTTGAAACCTTGAGCAATGAGGCGGGCTTTGCAACAATCAACAAAACCATCAGCCCACCATTTCACCTTCTAAACCCACTTAGTGCAGATGACATGCATGTGTGATTGGTACAGAACGAGGGTCCATGTGTTGTTAGCTACAAGAGTGTTGAACTCATGAGACATAGCTTCGTGCCAACAAGGATCTTTTTAGGCTTTAGAGAAACACAATGGTTCAGTAATGGCATCTGGCAATGTAGCTAATAATGCTTTCGGAATGGGGTACCGAGTCACATTGTTGGAGCGAGGTGGTAGAGTATCGGTCTGAGATCGAGTGAGCATAGTATGTTGACGAGGAGCAGGCATCGGAACGGGTTGCATGGCATCAAACAAGTCCTATAATAAATGAGTACCTCGTGGTGGAGGAGAAGTTGTACTGTCATAGAGGTAGATGTAGCCGATGAGGAGAGGAATAAAGAGCAAATGATGGGGTGGCAGTGGATCCAACGGATCGGTCGAATGAGATGCTGATAAGGATATATTCAGTGACACATTAATAGTAGCACTAGTGCAGCTAGTGGAAGTAGCCAAAGTTGAAGAAGCAATGTCGGGGAAATAACTCTCAACGAACATAACATGATAGGCAATATATAATCGACTAGAAGGAGGATGCAAACATTTGTATCATTTCTAAAAGTCACTATAGCCAACGAATGTGCACTGAAGAGATTGATAAGATACTTTGTTGCGATTGTATCACTTGAGAAGTGGGTAGTAGGCACAACCAAAAGTACGAAGCAGATTAAAATTGAGTGTCTTACCAAAGAGCATGGCAAAAGGAGATGTGCCTTGTAGCAGGGGTGTAAGAAGCTGGTTGATTAGATAGACTACAATGGAGGCGACATCATCCTAGAAGGAATATGGGAGAGTTGAGGAAGCCAGTAGAGACAGGGAAGACTTGATGATGTGGTGGTGTTTGCGTTCGGCAACACCGTTCTATTTATGAGTGTGAGGGCAAGCAAGTCGATGTGTGATGCCATGAGCAACAAGAAAGGGTGATACACGTCAGTACTCTCCTCCCCAATTAGATTGGAGGAATTTAATTTTTTTTTTCTCAAATAAAACTTCTACATGACTCGTGACCTTAAGAAAAATATCAAATACATCAAATTTGTTTTGCATCAAGAACAACCATGTGAATTTATTATAATCATCAATAAGAATTACATAGTATCTATAACCATTATTTGACTGAACTTGAGCAGGACCCCAAACATCTGAGTAAACTAACTCTAGAATGCTAGATTAACTATTGGAAGAAGAAAGGTGCAATCTATGACTTTTACCTAACTGACACGCCTCACAAACAAAGGTAACACTGCTACAAGAGAACGGTATCCCAAATTTGGATATCACTTGCCTCACCACTCGAAGAGTAAGATGACCCAACCATTGATGCTAACCATGTATTGTAGTGCGTTCACCGAAAAAAGGACCTGGAGAAGTGTTCTTGATGCTAAGACTACTTGGGAAGTAGTAAAGCCCGTCTCTATTGGGTCCTCATAATAGCTGCAAACTTGACATTTAAGAATCATCAGCTTGTAGATTATTATAATTAAGACCATACCATCATTGACATTTAAGAACTCCATGTCTAGGAGCATTGCAAACTTGACAGACAATGGTAGAATGACCACAACCCCTGCCACCATTATTGTTTAAACAACCATTGGAGCCACCACCATGACCATGGCCCTGGCCTTGGTTATTTGAAAAAATTCGGTTCTACTCCTGGGGTGACTGATTTTTTCCTTTGAAAGAGGTGTGGTTGGACACTGATGATTTATCTAGAGTTTGGGTATGATGCTGATCCAGCTATGCTTCATGACTAAGTAAAATACCCAAGACATCATCGATTCCTAGTTGATCCATATCAGATCGGTTGGATACAATGGTAACCACCGATTCATATTTTGGACCTAGTCCAGCTAGAACATAAAATATAAGATCTGTAGAGTTAACATAGTAGGCAACAACAGATAGATTATCAGAAAGACATTTGGCTCGATTAATATATTCAGTTATAGAAAGAGTTCCCTTCTTAAGACTTTACAACTATCTACGCATATGAAGTATACAAGAATGAGAGTGTGAAAAAAATGATTTCACAAGTGCAGCCCATACCTCATGAGATGACTAAAGTCCTACCACTTGAGAGAAAATCCCTTCAGTGAGCATGGAAATAATCCAACTAAGGACAAGTTGATCTTGTTGAAACCACTTGGCAAAGGCAGGGTTCGGCAGTTTGTTGTTAGGATCATTTGTGTCAATAACTTTCCTTGGAAGAGCTTCGGTAGTGCCATCAACAATACCCATGACCTTGTGGGTATAGAAAACCGGAAGCAATTGCACTTTCCATAATAGATAGCTCTCTCCCGTTAGCTTGATAGGGAGGTAATGCGATGTAGTCAAGATTGAAGAAGAAATCGAACCACTAGGCAAGGAAGTGATAGACTGAGAGCATTGTACTGAGTTTTGAACTGAAGCTATGTCACCATTGGAAGCCATGGCATTTTGGCTTTGATACCAAATTAAAGAAACTAGAGCGCAATAGATTGAAGTCAGAATGGATGAGTGACCATGAGAGGCCGAACCCTGTATATTTATAATAATAGTAATCATGATTACAAAAGGAGTCTTAAGAGTTTTAGGATCAAGAGAGAGGGAAAGAAGCATATCATATTCAAGCTCTCTAACAAGACAACATGCTTCATTCAAAGGTGGACAGAATTGGCACTTCAAAAAAAAAAAAAAAAACTCAAAGGGTTCCTTTAATGATATGTGGAAAACAAAAAGATAAGATTATGGTTTGTCAATTTGTTAAGAGAAAAATATCTCTTTAGTCAAGGTGACATTCATGATCTTCTCACTAGCTTCACTTGTATTCATGATCCCCTCACTACGATGGGTCAAAAACATAGGAATGCTACTTGAATGGCTTCATAAATGAAACCATCGATATGGTCGCATGTCCCAAACTCCAGTATATCTTGAACATCCTTTGCATATTTTTCTCCTGTTGGAAAATAATAAAAAAGGCAGAATGGAACTTATCGGTAATCGCTTTCCAAACCGAGAACTTGTAGAACTATAGATCTAAGAAATTGTAGAGAGGAGGGTTGAGTCGTATCACTTGCTCACTCTCCTTAAAACTGCATTTGCCCCCTACAGTGCAACCGGGTGATTACAAATTAGTTGCCAAGATAAAACAGCCCATTGGCCACTAGTAGGTGTGCACTCACTTACTAGGCCTCTGCAAACCACAAAGGATATGCTCAAAAAATCAACACTCGACAGAGAGAGAAAGCTGTGTTGTGTGCACTAATTTGTGTGCACTTTTAGAGAGATGTCTCTTCAAAACAATGCACCTATTTGAAAAGGCACAAAACAGAAAAGGAAAACGTTTAAAGATAACTTTTTTGAAATTCAAAAGTCAAACTGTTTAAATCGGTCAAAACTAGAACGATTCGGTGTAGCGTGCGTATACATGTACATGTGCATGCACAATCCCGTCCCGTCCCAACTCGGCTCAACGCACGTGTGAACATCTATAGTGCTTTCCTCCTATGGGTCCCTACCCATAGAGAGAGCAAGTCTATAGATATACTCAAACTCAACACCCTTCCCAAGCAATGTGGGACAAGGAGTCTTTCCATGCATTCAAAGGAGGGAAGAGGAAAAGACAAAAAGAGTACAAGGGAGGGAGGAGAAGTTCTTGAAATTTTGAATCTCCCTTCAACAGTCCCCCACAAGATTCAAAATCACAAGATTATCGAGAAATCTAAGCATCACGGTGAGAAAAGTATTCATGGTGATGTCTTTTGGACTTTAATCAACACTTAGGTATGACATACAATGTTACAAAGTACGAGTGAAGTCAGACTCCAACCTTTCCTCTTTGTCGTAACTAACTTACCAACCAACTCAACTCACTAGTTCTTTAGTGGTTCTTTTGTTTTTAGATCATTTCAGCCTTATTCCCCTCTTGGAATCATGAGTGTTTTAGAGAGTCAGCCCTTAAATCTCTCTTAGAAGTGGCTACACTTCACACTCACCTAGGTCATTTATTTAGTGTGCATTGCATACTCTATTCTTAAGTGATTAAGAGCCTTACACTCAACCTCCTCAAATTATAATAGGAACTATCTTACTTCAGCATCTGAAATGGGACACAAAATGATAGTGCTTTCCCAAGTCATCTAGCAACTTGTTTTTATCCATTCAACCTAATTCTAGGTATCTCCTTTCACATAGGTTGGGTGTCCATCACTAATGACTTATGTAATGGGCCTCATTCCTACCAATGCCTCATAAACCACTTTAGAAGTCTGTGGTTTGGTTAACGAATCTGCAAGGTTCTTTTCAAACCTCACAAAATCTAGAGCGATTGTACCTTCGTTCAAGTATTGGCTTACTAGGTTATGCCTTAGGCGGGTATACTTTCTTTTACTATTGTAAGTTTTGTTCTTGGCTCTAACTATTGTTGCTTAGCTATCACAATGGAAAGATATAAATGGAACCGGCCATGGCCCAAGTGGTATATCTGCTAATAAGTTCCTTAGCCACTCTTTCTCTGACCTTGCCAAATCTAATACAATGAATTCAGCCTCCATTGTTGAGCTTGTATTATAGGACTGCTTTACCGATTTCCACGA